CTATAGTAAAATCAGTCAGTTAAAACTTAAAATAGAAATAATTGAAATGATTCCTAGGCCTGTAATACTGTAGTCAATCTTAAGTTCACAAAGCATAATGGAACGGTTTGATGGAGGCGTACGGCGTAAATAAATTGGCGAGAATATCATTAGTACAGTATACAGCAGTTATATAATACGAGAATACACGTTATTATAAATTTTAATCTTGAATATACAATATATGTATTAGTTCAACACAAATGCTATAAGCAAGGACGTAATATGTATTGCTATAAAACTCGAGTCAAATGGGTAAAGACATTAATTTTATATTGTATATTGATACTTGCGTCAACCTTCGTGAGAATCAATTCAATCGTGAGCCGCTTATGAGGCCAATGAGACATCTTCCGACATCAGTATAATTTGCCGAGTTAGGATAATAATAATACTAATAGATGGATGTACACAGCGCAAATAAACGAGGTCTCTATGCGCTCGACAATAGGTAAGAAGGCAACGAAAAAAAAGGCAAAATAAAAGTTGGAAAAAAACCGAAAAACACCAAGCTAGCACCCAAACCAATGTATGGGGTTACCCCGTCACCGCCAAACAACGGAGATCTGTGTTCAGCATTTGGAAATACCGAAGAGCTAGTTGGGTAGAGGAGGGTCCCGTCGGTGAGATGCGTCGGACTATAAAACAATATTTTCTCCTTATTTTTGTGGGGTGTGTGGTATACGTAAAGCGTATCAGAACAGTTGTAATGGTCCAAAAACAGCTGTAAATCACACCTGCAAAACAGCAATACACTACATCTAATGCAGTTTATACTCGGGCCATTTGATTAAAAAGTGGAGAGAAAATCCTCCGATGGAGAGTAAACCTCCTACAAATTATTTAAGCAACAGTCAATAGTCACGTACTTGTATACTGCCTTCTACAGTAAAAACCGCCTCAAGGTGCGTTCAGCCACACACAAGCTAAAACATTAATATAATAGCAGACAGAATCAGGTCTTTGTACTGTATCTTATCAGATACATACTTATGCCTCTAGGCCAGGGGTGGTCATGAAAGTTGCTTGGGAAGGCCAAAATTAATTTTTGATTTTACACTGAGAGTTGCAACCAAACATTTTTTGTTTCCAGAGTGCTTTCAAAAATCTTTATGCCCTGCTTTCATACCACTTTATGCTCAGTTTTAATATTACTTTTCATTACAGATGATCTGTGTCGGACCATACAAATCAAGGGGTTTTCAAGCCAAAACCATTTGGAAGGCCGCCGACATTGGGATTTCAATTCATTTTCGCGGACCACAACAAAATCACCATCGGGCCGCACTTTGCGTAGCTGTGTCCTAGGCGGAGAGGAATATGTGGATGAAGTTTGTTATGGGGACATCATAATTCAGTTTCCGATCTAGTACAGTACAATATTATCATAATCAGATTGTAAATTTGATAAGGTACATGTGATACTGTTACTCATGTATAATCAGCTCATCTCATCTTCTAGTGAACTTCCTCGTTTCAGTCATAAACACATTGGGTAATGCAATGAAATTCCCTAACAAAGTCTGTTTTTTCTTCACATGTATTTATATGATACCTCAAAATAACGAAGTAGATCTAGTACATAATAATGACGTAATGATAATGTAAAGGGCAAGACGTTGCTTCCATAACATCACATAAAATTGTCATCCTATAACATAATCAATGACAAATGATAATTAATATCAATTTTAAATTAAATTTAACTTCCTTCATTAGCAGGAAACATGTGTATGCATCGGAACATTACTCAGAGTAAAATTTAATCACAAATTAAATATGAATCTTTTTATCAATTTGTTGTAAATATTTGAATATAAAAATGGCCATTTTAGATAAAAGAGTGAGACCATAAAAACCAGTAGAGATAAAAATCAAAAATTAAATGAGATTTTTTATGTAGTCTTGAAGGTTTTCAATTTGTTGTCAATGTTTAACCATGGACCTATTATCAAGAAGTAGGTCATTGGTTTAACTATTGAAGGGTCGTTTTTAGATAAAGAAATGAGACTACTACACCAGATCTTAAAAGTAATGTGTCTTAGAACAATGTCAGGAAATCAAATGTCATTGAAATTAGATAGTCAATTATCTACCACAGAGGGCGCTAGATTAAAAAACAAAACAAACTAAATTCTTAGAGAAATTAGTTTCTATCTCACAGTATTCCACAGAATCGCAGGATATCACCTTTAAATAAGATGAGTTATGATTCTTTTGTGTCTGTTGCCTTTGCTTTATTAGTGTCTTTTACTGGATCTTTCTTCTTATCATCCTTACCCCCATCGTCCCTCCTACGGTCATCCCTCCCCCGATCATCTCTTCCACGATCATCCCTCCAACGCCCTCCCCTATAGGAGTCTCTGGGTCTATCATCCCAGTGTCTCTTCTTATCATCCTCTCTCTTATAGTCACGCCGTCCACCGTATCTCCCACTATTGCTTCCTTTCTCGAAGTTTTTGTTCCTTTCACTTCTATCATCTTTTCCTTTGTCCAAGCTTTTCTCTGCCTTTGCCTTTGTTTCTCCAGTCCGAGGTCTGTCATCTTGTTGCCCTCGTTGGGGTTTAGGGTCCTTTGCTTTCTCATTTGTTGGGCTTTCGGTTTTGCGTTTACTTTTTTCGGGTGACGCTGATTTAGAACTGCTAGTGTCAGTATCTGTGGATGGAGATGTTGATTTTATAATGGATCTCTGACCTGGACGATAAATTTGCATTGCTGGTCTATCCTGTGATAAAAGAAACAAAAAATTCTATCAAGTTACTATAATGTATCATATAAAATTACTAAGTTTTAATATCAATTTGATCATTTTTTTGAATATTAAAACAATTATGACTTGAATAAATTTAAAATGACCAATAAAAAATTCTTCTAATTCTCTACACATAAAATTAAATCTAGTAAGGTAAGAAACACATTTTTTCAACATGTCTAAAAACTTATCCATGTCATTAGCCGCCTCTCAGATAATAAAGCATTCATCATGTAAATCACATCAACTTGCATATAATCCACAATTAATTATTGCAAACAATAGTAAAATCAGCTGCTATGAAATTGTGGTAAACAACATTTAAAAAATCATTTTATCTAAACAATTCATAACTTAGTATAAGAGTGATTTCAAGGTCTTAATACATATAGGAAAGTATATTCTAGGAATTTGAGTTTAAATTTAGTACACAAAGCATTTTAGTTTAAGTAATGATATAGTACAACTACTGTAACAAAAGAGACAATCAGTTTAGTCTTGCATCCAAATGGCAAATACATACTGTAGATGCCACAATCACAACTTGCAGAAAATACAATAAATTACAAATTGACTTGCAAATCAAACTTTAATAGCACTTCTCATGTCATTACAGTATTTCTAATGTGGAATAATATATTTTGAGAACTAAAGCAATTAAAATGAGCATAATTTATCTGGCAACAGGAAGCTTCCATTCTGTAAGAGGGGTGTTGAATGAAAAATAAATCACACTTTTTGTAGATATTTATTTAATAATATTCACTATGCTGTTTGCAATTAAAAAAAGGGACATCAATAAAAATAAAGAGTAAAAATAAAGTGACTCTGTCTGTACAGACAAAGAGCATCATCACATTATTTTGGAATTAAGTTATACTGTACAACTTAAGGTAAATAAGTCTCCGCTCAGAAAATAAGAGTCTTCTCACTGTCCCCACCTTCAAATTGAAAACATATGGCCAACAAACATTTGCTTTTTCTGCCTCATTTCTGTGGAATGACTTACCATTGTCTTTAAAAAAAACTCACCCTCCTTGGATTCAATTAAACACAAATTAAAAACTCATCTATTTCATTCCAACTAATCTACTCTATTTCCACGTTCATATCTACATCGTCTTTTTACGTTTCTATACAATGGATGCTATATGTATACTTTCGCGCCTTTGATCATTTTTTTAAAAATTGGTGCATAATAAATGTTTGTTTATTATTATTATAACCGGAATTTACATAAATAATCGGAAAATTTAAAAATTTACTGGGTAACATATCTGTTTTTTTTTTACCTTATTTCTGATCCTTGGTCCTTTTCCTCTTTCATCTGCTGATTTTTTAGTTGGTGTACTCTCAACTTTTTCTTTATCAGATAACTTCTGTGTTGATGCTATGTCAGGCGATCTGCTAGCCTTCTTAATTTCATCTTTCTTTTCTTTACTTCCAATACCATCATTCAAATTCTTTTTAACTTCTTCTTTCTTGTCTTTATTCCCAGAACTGTCATTCAATTTCTGTTTAACTTCATCCTTCTTTTCTTTACTTCCAAATCCATTATTCAATTTCTCTTTACTTGGTGTTGATGATAGTGATTTTCTATCTCTTCTATCATCAAATTTTCTTTTGGAGTCCTTTGAAAAAGCAGTATCTCTAGCTCTACTAGAATTGGATCTACTGTCAGGTTTTTCTCTTTCTTTTTCCTTGTCCTTATACCTGTCTTTTATTGGTTCTGGTGTTCTTCCTCCTCCATACCTCCCTTTATCTTTCCCTCCATCTCTTCCTCTGAATCGTTCTTTATCTCTCTCCTTTTCTGAAATTCTCGAACTTTTCTGTTTGTCAAAATCCTTTTCCTTTATGGTATCTTCTTTGCTTTCTACCTTAGGTGAACTCGTCCTGCAATAAAAAGATTAAAAAACAAAAGGATGGCAACATTAATAAATATAACAATACAACGCTTTTCATAATTTAAAATCAAAGAGATCTAATAAATAAGCAAAGTGAGTAAATCAGTTTTGACTCATAGGCTCAGTCTTTAGAGCAACTGTACATTAAATGAACCATCAATAATTTAATGATCCCGGAAATTATAGGAGCAATTACAGATGATAATTACATAAATGGTTTAAAATGATAAATTTTGATGAAATGTTGCTTAAATATGTTTAACCTTGAATCTTCCTTCCTTGTACGATCCTTGACATCTGACTTGGATTTTGAACGTACTTCCTCTTTGGATACATCATTCTTAAGGATCTGCAAAAAAAAAGAAAATTCAATTATTCTCTTACAAATAAAAATAAAACCATAATAGTTTGATTAAATTCAAAACAAGAAAGCATTAATTGCTTCTCTGTCTTTTACATTTCCAGTACATTATGTAAAACAATACTCTAATTGCTTATAATAACCATAATAAATACATCAATTATTTATTCATAATGAAATAAAAAATGATATTGTATACAACTTTCAAATATAATCTGCACTACCTTCACTGATGTATCCTCTTTTTGTTCAGTTTCTTTTTCTTTTCTCTTTTCCCTTTCTTCTCTCTCTTTAATTTTCTTTTTCCTTTCCTCTTCTCTCTTCTTTCTCCTTTCCTCATCTCTTCGTTTTTGCCGTTCTTGTTCCTTTCGTTTTCTTTCTTCTTTAGCATCTTCTCTTGCTTTCTATTAAGAATGTAATGAGGCTTGTCACAAATTTCACTACTACGCTACAATTACATAAAGATCTCTAACTTCAGAAAACTTACAATTCTTTCCGCTCGTTTATTTTTCAGATAATCCAGTAATGGAGTAGTCATCTCAATCGCTGAAAGAAAATATTATTTATTAAGTTGATTTTTAGTATAATAACCAAATATCACCAAAATATATATTAAAGGCCAAAAAAAAAAGTAATAATTATACAATATTAGTACACTAACACACAAGCAAAATCTGAGACAATTGCAAAGCATGTAATCATGTAATATGATTTGTTTTAAAATGTTAATTAATTTAACTTTCAAAACAATTGAATGCCTTTTCCCATTCTTAAAAGTTAAAAAAATATTTTTACTTACCTTTCTTATCATTATTTTTCTGTTCAATTTCTTCAAGGAACGTTTCAGCACTTGGAAGTGGTTCAACAGTCACTTCTAATGACTCTAGAAACTTTTTATAATCATCATCTAAAATACAAACATGAATAAGAAATAACAATTTAATAACTATAAACACATAGCTATGATGAAAGTAAATATTTCATTCCATCTTCAATGAGAATTGTTAAAATAAAATTTCATTAACTTTCCATGACATTCCAGGCTAAATTATGTTTTTTTTTTCCCACCAATTTTTATCACCAATACCCATGTTGCATTACACATCTTAGGCTTGATTGTTATTGTACATATAGCCATAACCAGTGGCAGATTCAAGGGGAAGGGGCAGCCAGCACATCCCCATAGGCCACCACCTAAATTTTTAAAAATTAATTTTAAAAAAATGGAGAAAAAAAGAAAATATATTAAAATTCAAGAGTGAAAGTACCATTTAAGGGCATCTGGTGCCATAACTATACATTTTCTTACCTCAACCCCAACTAAGGTGGGACTAAGGTAGTATAGACCCTCTGCTGTAAAAGCCCCTCCCTGGCCAACTCTCTTTCAAATTCCTAAATCCACCACTAATAACTATGCGCCATCATGTTTAGGTTTTATACAGTTGAATGACTTTCTAATGACTTTGTCTTATAATGTGTAATGTATTATTTAAACATGTTTTGTCTATCTTAATTAGGTTCTATTTCAATTAATCATCTAATTTCATCTTCTCTTAAAGTTTAATTTATGGCTTAGACAGAATTAGTTGGAGTATTAAAATATATGTATATAGCCACTGATTAGCAAAGCAAAGGTCAAATCATGTATTTTATGTGTTTGATGAGCTGATGTGATTTTGAATTGAATATCAACATTTCAAATTTCTGTAATTTTCCATAAAAGCTATAAATTATGTTTTTCCATTAAATTTATCCTGATACATGGGCATTAAACTGCAAAGGTTCTTACCATCTTCAATTGTTCCGGACCTTGGATCAACCTTCCTACTGCTTGGTTTCTTTGGTACCTTGGTGTATGGTGCAAACTCCACAACAGCAACATATTCTCTTCCTAATACAGATACAGATCTTTTATTGTCACGAAAATACGAAGTACAATTATGAAAAATACAATCAAAATATGAGATTTGAACAACGACCAGTTACTGAAATATACCCATACGGTCAGTAGATTAATGCAATTTAAAAAATGGAAATAAATAAATGTCAATTATATAACAGAATATCTACAGCATCACTATGAGCAGGGATCCCAAGTTGTGAAAATCAAACTCCTTAGAGATTTTGTCGTGCAGGACAGGCAGAGGTTTGTGATGCGCGTGCTATCTAAAACGCATGTACAGTACCAGGACACACGTGTAGAAATTTATCGCCTTGTTCAATATAAAAACAAAGAGACTTGGGGAGGTTTAGGTTACTGTTAATACCATATTGCTGCCTAGAATGTTCAATAAATCTTATGTCTGCCAGATTTTAATGCATAAGATTGGGAAAATTTATCTTAGCATAAGCTCTAATTGTGAAAATCTTTCAAAATCCTGGAGAAATACAAGAGAAATTCAAATTCCGGAAGAAAATGTGAAATTTCCGGGAGACTGGGAGCGAACTAACATTCCTGGACACTCAAGGGCAATCCAGGATACTTGTGGGCCCTGCTTTGAGCATAAACTTGTCCTAAAAGAGCAGAACAAGGATAATTTGAGAATGGTCAATGTAACCAAACCACTATCTTGCATGCTTTGCTTTTCGGGGGCCCCATGCTTTTGTCCCAGTTGTTTTGGGAGCATTTTTTCCTTATGTCGTGGCGAAATGGTTAAGTTGTCGCACAGGCCAGTATTGAGTAAATGAGCTATAAAATATGGGAGCTCAAAAAATTGCCTGAAAATCCAAATTTGTTTTTCATTATAGATCAAAAGTTTAATTACTTATTAATCATGTACCAAAGTATTAGTTCTGGAAGTGGTCAACAAACTGTTTATTTAATGTTATTTTGATAATTCATTCTATTAAACAATGTATGCACAAATAACTTTGAAAGGCAATTACTCAAAATCATGTTTATCTTGACTCTAAGAGTACTGTACTTTCACTTTCCAATAACTTTGGCTTGAAATGTCCAATTTCAATGAATGACCCCTCATTTTAAAGATTACATACTCAGGTATCTGAAAACACCAATAACTTGAATTTCAATTTTTGCTACAACTTAGTCATTTTGCCACAACATGCCTCATATGTATAAAAAATTGTAATAACTAATTATAAAACTAATATAATATAATTAATAATAATTAATAAACTAACTGTAAAAACGAATTATATTGTACTGTTTAAACGATATTGAAGATTTTAAGTAATGCATTATTCTGTATTTTCCCAAATCACTTTCATTTTTAATCTCCTATAATCTCTCATCACAATGTTTATAGGCCATTGTTAGTGAATATATACTTATATATGTACAGTATATTTTGAATCCCTTTACTTATTTATTTGAAGTTTTTGATTATTATTATTATTACTTTATTATTATTATTATTGTTTTTATTATTATTAATATCTTTTTATATTTACTTGTTGAATCATTTGTCTTTTCTACATGTTCTAAATATATATTTAATTTATTTAAAGAGGGATCCACTGCTGAAAGCTTTGCTTGTCGCGGGTTTTTTTCCTTTTCCAAAAATTGTAAATTATTTGTTATGAAAAAAGGAAATGATGAATAAATTGATGATTGATTGATTGAAATGCAAAATGATGAAATACCATTTGTGTCCAGAAACACATGTCCATCCCACTTCTCACTGAATGATATAATGTCTTCTTGGCTGGTGAAATTCAGGTAGGCTCTGCTGAATGCAAATGGAGCTAAACTGCAAACAATTAAAAAAAAATATCAATAGCAATTAGCAATATTCTGAAGCTGTACTATCTCTTGTGACATTGTTATTGTTTCTGCACACAAATCAATTTTATTAAAGCCATAAATTTGTGCCTATATACAGTAGGATCTATTTATTTTTTCAAATTCAAGGGTGCACAACAGTTTTAACAATACTGTAATATAAAACAATTTAAATAAGAATACAACTTTAACCCTATAGAAACGCAGCGATCATAATATTTTGAAATTTTATTTTTGACGTACCATCTTTCAGCTTTGACGAAGCAGAAGTAATCATTCTGGGGCATCGGAGAAATCTGCTCAACAAAGTTTTCCTCAGTAAGAGTCGGTGGCAAACGTCTGATTACAACCTGCAATTTCATATTGACCAGTAATCTTCATTTATCAAGGTTGTAATGCATTTTTAATAATAATAATAATAATAATAATAATTAAACTACTGATTAGATAGGTTACTACTTTTTTAGGACGGTAGTCTCCTTTTTATCCATGGTGATTTACCAATTATTTTTAATGCTTGACCATCGTCAGTGAACACAGGATTTGTGAAGAGACAATTCAGCTGCAAATGATACATGATTTAGAGTGATAAAAATGTTACCATTTTGGGTAAGACCTGTGGTAAATCTAGGCCATATTAATTATTATTTTCCCATGAAGTACTACACTAGGGGGGCTAGGCCTATACTAAGTCTAAGTATGCTGTAGGCATAGTGATTATTAGATAGGCCTAGGCCCTACCAGTCCTAGGCCTAGTTAGTATTATTATATTCATATCATTATTTCATAAAAAAAGATGAGGCCAAACTATGAACTAAGCATATTTTTTGGGGGGGAAATACTGAATGATTTTTCGTCCTGAGCTGATGCCTAGACCCGATCGTCGCTGAGTGTATCCAGCCACAATATTCTCCACTTACTAGGCCTAGGCAATCAACAGAAAACCTGCTGGCTGGGCAAAGACTAGATCTAGGCCTAGGTCTTACTCTAGCATAGACCTAGACTAGCCTGCGCTGCTGCGGCTAGCTAGAAAGACAGCCTAGCCTAGGCCTACCTACCTAGCCTAACAAGGTCCTAGGCCTACCTATTTTGCGAGGAGAGCAAACAATTTACTTCAAATGTATAGGCCTAGGTTTAAAGAAAAAAAGATCTCACTTTTGTCAGAGGAGCATCTTTTATCTTCTTCCTTTCTTTTAATTTGTCTTCTTCTCTCCTTTCTTTAGAATCTTTAGTCATCTTTTTCAAGTTTGCCACGGATTCGATCAGAGAAACCAAATTTTATAAAAAGGTCACACAGCACTCAAAGGTCAAACAAAAATAAACAAAAATAATCCTGTTGCTAATATATTTTGTATATTCATTGAATATTTGTAAGTTAAAATATATTTTAAGATGCACCATTAAGAATTATAATATAAGTAGGTAAAAAAATATTACAAGCTGTGAAATATAACTTTAAAAAGTATAAATATGTTTATAATCGAATTTAATTAAAATGTTTCCACATGTAGGCCTACATGTCAAAGTTCGGGGAGCGCCACATTCAAAAAAAAGTCCACCATCGGTAATCCGTTTTTGTTTTTTATTTTGAAATTTTCGATTAATAATTTAACGTGGGTGTAAATACAAATATAGCTCTAGTTAGTTTAGCCAGGCCTTAGGCCTTAACCTAACGCTGCCATGCCTCTCCAGCTACCGAGAGGCCCCTAGCTTTCTAGGTAGCCTGCTACGTACTATAGCTAGGCCACCTGGCATAGGCCTAGGCCTATGCGCGGGAAAGGTGGCTAGCGCCGTGCGGGTAAGGTGGCTAGCCAGGGCTGGCCTAGGTCTTAGCTTAGGCCTAAGTAAATAAGCCTAGACTCGTCACATAGACCTAAACAAAATAGGGCTATGGTTTAGCTAAACATTCCCAATTTCTTGTTTGCTGAAGAAATAACTTGAGGCCAGAACAGAATGAAAGTCAACCTGTGTTTGTGGTCAATAACAATTCCAATTTAATTTAATTTAATTTATTACAACTATCGAATTCTAGGCTAGGTCTAAGAGGAGGAGGCCTAGCTAGACTAGATGAATAAAGATAAATTATCAATGAGTCCTATGGAGGTTTTGCAAACATGCCAAACAATTACTGTACTGCTATAATTTATAATTTTATATTTTTAGGAGTGTTTAAAGATGGTTTCCATTGGCAGAGGTTTCCGTTTAAGTCCTAATGAAGAAGCTGCACTTATTCAAAAAGAAAAAGATAGACGAAGAAAGTTAAGGATACAACAGGTAGCTTAAAATTATGATCGTACTATTATTAGTATGTTATTAAAGAGTGGATATTTTGAACAAAAAAAACCCATTTAATTCTAATAATAATAGTAATAATAATAATAATGGTAATACTGCTGGTAATAATAATAATAAATAATAATAATAATTATAATAATTTTAATAACTAGCCATTTTTCCCTGCTGTATTTCTCAAAATATATTTTTAAATATTTGTATTGATCTTTTATAATATTTTAACAATTTAAAAAAATTTATGATCCAGATGTTAATAATGTATTTTTTCTGGTTTATGTATGTTGCACGTTTTTATGAATTGTGAATGTTATTTTTGTCAACTTGACATCTAAAATTCATTCTTGTCTACACTGACTAGAAAAATATTTCTCTTGCCAGATCAAACTAATGAATGTGTATATTCTCAGCATACAAGATCAATGTATATCGATATAGTAAAATGTCTGTTCAGTGTAAATCAGGAAAAACAGAATTTGTTTTATCCGTATCCATTCGAATTGACTTATTTTTATTTTCAATTTTCAATTAATTTTTGAGTGTTTTTAACAGATTTATCTAACAATGGTATATCATTAAAATTATCTTTAATAGTAAATAATGAGGGCATTCTTATTATCATAAAAAAACATATTTTCGACAGGTAAGGGAACAGGAGAAGTTGTTTGCTCGTCAGCTTCATAATGTAGTAAGTAAGAAAAAGCAGGAAGAGGTTCAAGCCTTAGCAAGCCAGCTCCAGCAAGGTTGGGTTAGACAACAAAGAAACAAGGCAGAAGCCCTTCAAAAGCTCTTTCATTGTAATCTTCAAAGCATAGGACAAGGCCACAAAGATGCTACAGAGCAGGTAAGCCATTTTTTGTCACATTGATGTTTTTTATTATTTATTTAGGTGTGCACACGCACTGTCTTACGAGTACGTAACAATCAATTTCACAAGACAAACATACACACACGATACAAAAACTGATGTGAGGCTTAGGGAGTTGAGTTGTTTTGATCAAGAGAAAAATTCTGCAACACTGACAGAAATTGAACCCACAACTGTGGGATTGAAAAGCAAGCACCTTAACCACCAAGCTATTCAACTCCACTTCAATTGTTCAATCTTTTTATTGTCAAGATTCTTGTACAGTACTGTAATTATTAGAAAGTATAATACATACTCCAATTATTTACTTGCATGCCATCATGTCCTGATGATGACATAATCAATGTTGAAATATTGAATCCCAACACGATGGCATACATTTCAATAATTAGAATATGTGTTATACTTTCATATCTGAGATTAATCAGTGGACCTTTCGGTTATGGTAATCATTAATTGTTGATGCTTTCCTCATGAGGCAGGAGGCAGATATAAAATTTGAAATGCTCTCTTTTTAATATTATATTTAATTAATTTATTTATAATTATTTTCTTTTATTAACTTGTTGGAAACTCTTGGTATATTGTTTATTTTCCCTTTAGTCACTTGTAAGGATTTGTCCATATTTTGATGTTATCAGATACCAAAAGAAATTGAGAAAAAAATATCATCAATACGAAACAACAGGAAAGCACAAGAAAGATACAACGTAGCCTTAGATAACCTACACAGGGAGCAAGATGTACAATGGCAGAAAGAGAATGCACACATCATTTCACGGCAGACTGCTCTTGAACTAGAACGAGCAAGAGCTGCTAAAGTTGCCAAGCTTCCTTCTCCTGAAAAACCATGGAATATGGATGATGATGGTCCAGAACTCCACACAGTAAGAGTTACAAGTGAGGTTGGTTTGTCCACAACGCATTACCATGTAACTGCAGGTTATGCTGAAAAAGCAAGTCCAACTCAACAGGTACAATCTTTATTTTTTAAAATTTAATTTCTACTTTCTGTCATTAGAAATATTTTTATTATGTTGTAGGTGAACATATTCATGAAACAAGATTTATTATGTTTGTACATACCTCATAATCTCTTTATCTATCGAGAGATGTCCTAGATCAACAAAAGCCTTCCAAACTTTCTTGTCTTGCGTGGCTGCCTTAAAGCATACCCTGTATCTAGTTAAAAGTACATCAGATAAGATTAGGAGCGAGTCTTTCAGGTTACTTCAATATTTCAAGATCCACCCAATTAGTTAGTACTTCTTGACAGTTACTAGCAAACCAAGGTCTTGGGGCTGATTCTGGTAAGGTCTTACTACAGTCTGGGGTCTCACTATCATTTTCATACTTTCAGTGCACATTAAAAACAGATATTAGCATTTTGAATTTTTTTTTAAGTAACTTGATTTTTTGTGAGGTTAGATCTTATTGTCCATGCTTAACAGCCATTTTAGCAGTACTTACACTATTACTCGTGTTACAGCAAATAGTCTTAATAAGCTTTATCAATTATAAAACTTCCAGTTTGATGCTCGAGAAGCAGCTCTGGCAGAATCAGAGAAAATGGAAGAAGAAGTTGAAGAAAGATCAAAGGAAATAAAAGAAAGGCATGAGAAAGCAGTGCTCCGTCACAAATATGCACGAGAGAAGGAGTTACTAAGGCAGGATTATGACCATTTAATGAATGAGCTTGGACAACTTGAGCAAATGGACAGGAAGAGAAGACAGGCTATTGTTGCCACTATTCCTGTAAGTTTCAATTCATTACAATGAAAGAAAATAATGCCTATATTTTACAGTAGAAACTTATGTGTTCTTTAAAGATGTCTGTATTAAAAGTATGTTATCGGCTTCCAATGAAACACAGATCAGTGATAAATAGGGACTTTTTTAGTCACAAAAATACAAACAAACTGTTATTAACCATGTCATTTGAATTGTCTGGATTTTATTTAAGTATTTTCATAGCAACTAAAAACCTGACAGATCTGAGCCTCATTGGTTGATAACTTACTTGAGTTTCATCGAGTTTTATTGATTAATTTTTGATGGGTTTCCACTTTTTTAACCTTTAGAAACAAGTGTTCCAGCCACCACATAAGCGAATGGAGGACAGACTTGAGCATCAACAAAATCTAGAGGAAGCATTTGAAGATATGTACATGGCAAAAACAGGTACAGTAGATGATGTAGATGATAGATTGTGATACAACCTTATATTGTGCTTCTTTGTCGAAGTTGACAATGGGTATGAGAGTGTTGATAGGCCTATTTTAATTCAGTAGTCATCTAACACTAAAATATTCGTTTAATAAAATTTTATGCTCCAAGAGTCAACAACTAACATTAATTTATTCTGTGTTACAAATCTATTTTTGATTATCTATGTGGAACTTACATGGCACCATACTTTACATCGTATTAGCATCATATTAGCTATAATAGACATATATTATAAGACTTCTTTCAAAAATTTTTAAATATGAAGACTTTGAAGTAGCTTCACTATTTAAAGCCCTATTTAGACTACCAAAAACATGTAACATGGCTAAATAAATGGTCATGATGACATCACATCATGACCATATATAGCACATCATGACTATATATGGGCACACAACAGTTTTTTGTAAAAGAAAATTTGATAATCTGGGCAGAGCTTAACACTCATTATAAAGAATTCAGGGTTCCTGTAGGAAAACAGTTGCTTGCTATTTGAGAATTTTTTTTTTATATGTATTTTGAAATATAAGAAAATACATAGCAATATGTTCTCTTTGCAGATTTTGCTGGTGACCTTACACTGGCACTGGATCCTAAGCCAATGGTCAGTGATCATGATCTGGATCTGACAACAGAATCCACAATTGATACCGACATACTAGATCCACATATACGTCAGTCCAGTTCTACCGAGACGAATCTTTCTGATGAAGCTGTCCCTCTGAAAGAACATCTTGCAGATACAGAGATTCCATCTGACAAGGAAACCTCTCCACAAATAGCTGGTTTAACTACAAGAGCTCCAGTACAGTTTCCTGTTGGTGTTGACAGAGATCAGCTGGATTTGCCAGTTTTAAATAAAGAAAATAAAACAGAAACAGCTGAAGAGGAACACCCTCCAGCTAAAAAGATTCTGCCAAGATCAGGTATTGTAGTTTTGGTTACAAGTATGGATGTATTTATTACTTATGCAGATAGTTCTGTTGCTAAAATGGAAATAACACAGAAATACTAAGAATTAAAATAATGTTTTACATTTGCAAAAACAACATAACAGAATTATAGGTGAGACTTTTTTATAACGTGTTTTTCAAAATTTCCAATAACAAATTCAAAGTAAATTTTAAATAGTATTTTTGGTCTGTAAGCATACCTGCTGCTATGAATAAATGGAGATTTAACAAAGAAAAAGTAAACTTTTAAATTTTTTTAATAACTATTTTTAAAAAAAAGTTTGATGTTAAAAATGTTTGTAGTTGGTCGCTTTCTTTTAGATGTTCCTGTTGTAGAGTGTAAATAATAATAGTGTAGTTTTATATAGCGCACATATCCATCTAATGTAAGATGCTCAGGGCGCTTGATATGTGGACTAGGGACTCGAACAATGACTTTCTTCACCCCTAAGGATCCCTTCGTATCTGTGCTACCCGGTAACCCGGTACCAGCAAATCTTGTCGTCCACCACAGAGGCTGTCTGTTTCAGTACAATGGGGTATACCCGTACTCGTCTCGAAGGATATACTGGGTTCTTTATAGTGCACACGAGCCATTGTATACACTGGTTGGACTTGTTCTACCACCAGAACCATAGGTGAGCGTGCCGTTCGAACCAGCGCCGATATTATGGCTATAGCTTGCGGCGCCCCTGCTAACAGCTCGGCCATTTGACTAAAACACGTCTGTTTTTATCTGTACTGTTATGGTTTGACCAACTTGCATAGGTGTCTAGCACCTGTTAGATCATTCTTTGCCTTGTTTTTATTGTTTTGCAGTTTTGTTTGTAATGATTTATTAAACAGAAATTTGAATAAATAAATAAATAAATAAAAAATAATTGAATGTTATTTGATATCAATCCATTTGTTTTTTCGCTTTGCAGAGGCTCTTGGTAGGTTACTTCAAAGGATCAGAGGGCAACAGAGAGAACTATCAAGTAAGTGGTGAAATATCCCCTCCTGGTAATGAATCTTACGACGCATCTACTTCTAAGTGGACAAGGACAATGTGAATGAAGTGCTTTGCCTATGGAAACAAATACAATTTACATTTTATAGACAGCTAACATCTATCCACAAAAACCATATTTGTTATATGAATGTAATTATTGATCGATTTTTCAGGTCAAAATGAGATTAGCTCTTCTACAATCATTACCACATCATCTTCAAGTCGTCCTAGTGATCTATCTCAGCATCCAATTGAGAACAGTAATAGTGTACTCCCATCATCCAACTCGCTGTCAGAACATCCTGTGGATAAAGGTGAAACACAGCAAAATAATGATGGCAACACTAATTGTGAAAGTAACCAGAGCCAAGATGATATGGAGCAAGGAAAAGATGAAATGAAGGAGACTTGTGGAGATGAGCTGGAAGAACCAATATTGGCTGGCAGTCCAACATTACTGCATCCACTTGAGAAGGCAGCTCTGATCAGAGCAAAGGTAACCTCGTTTAACCAGCTTAAGACTATAATGAAAGATTTATTCCCTCATAAATCTAATTTTAAATGAATTGCTAATTTTTTAGTATATTTTAACTACTGTATTAGGTTATTAGCTTTCAACTGAGAGAAAATTAGAATGTGAAAATACAGTGCACCCTCCAATTCGAGACCACTTTTTCAAAGAACCAAATAACATTTGTCAATATTTAACACAAAGCTAACCCTCTAAATGGAGACCAAGCCCCGAGACCACCCCACATTTTCAGGTCCCAAAGTGGTTTCGAATTGGAGAGCGAACTGTATTATTCTCCCCAGAAAATGGATATTTGAATAACACCATTCCTATATTCTTTGCATATATTTCTTTCAGCAAATGTAGAATTTTCTTAGAACAAATCGATAATACATGTTAATGTTTTAAACAAGTAATTGAAAATATGTAATATACAGAGAGGGTTTTTGGAATTAGAGTGGTCTTGAATTAGAAGGTGCACTGTATTAGGTTTTTCAAAAATTGTTGTATTGTATTATATCTGTGATAATTAACACAAACTTGTTATTAAACATAGTCTAGTAATGACCATTGTGATTGTTTTTATGTAGGCCAACTTAGATAAACAGACTGAGGATCAAGCTATGCTCTTTGCCAGGACTCAACAGCAGATGATGGAGTTGAGAGTTCACCAAGAAAAACCCAAAACAAAGCATTCTGTAGAGTTAATTGATGAAGATGAATCAAACCTTGTCCAAAACAATCTACCAATTGCAGCAAAAAGAACAAATATTACTGGGGATAGACTGCAGCTTTCTCAGCCACAGAATACACAAGATGCTAGTAAAAGACTTGACAAACTCTCTGCAGATATCCAAGAAGAATTTCTGCCACTTTCATCTGATACTATGTTTATTCAGCACGGGCTAAGTATTCCATCTGCTCCAATTCATTACACTACTAACCAGCTGCAAAGAAGTACATCATCTGAAAAGACTTTGAGTGACCTTAGTGCAACCAGAAGCAGTAGTGATTTTGATGATCCACTTCTGCAGAGAATTCGTCTCTATCAGCAGAATCTTCTACAGAAACACAGTAAGAAAAAACAGGATATCAGCAAAGAACAAAAGAAACTTATGCAGACTACAGAGATTCTAATTGATCAACAGAAACAACTGATGTCTAGAATGCCGCAATTGCACACTACAGCTAATCGTAATTTTGCATCAGTACCTACCACAAGTACACATCCAAAAGTTGCATTAAAACCTCAATTTAAAGAAAAAGAAATGAGCTCCTTCCAAAGGAACAGGATTTCAGCTGCTAAGCCAACCACAAACCAACCTGAAGTATCTCAAATGACTGACAATTCATATTCTACATCCAAGCAGTCTTTTCATAATTATCCACAATCTTTTCAATCTATTGGTCATCAAGAATCATTGAAAACAAGTATTTTTACACAAGACGAACCACAAAAAGATAAAGGTAACCTGTACAAAAATGTCAGCATGCCTTACATACAACCACCCACAAAGCCTCAAGGTGATGAACCTCTTGGATTTTATGAAGAGCACGAGATCAGAACTAAATGGTTACGTGAGCAGCAAGAGTTGCTGAGAAAACAGAGGGAGGCCCTTCTACAGCATCAGGAAATGCAGAAGCGAAGCCTGGAAGACAAACAGTTGCAACTAATGGCTCAGCTGAAAGGGGATATTGGTACGATGAAAAAAAAATGTGTCAGTACTTCTCAAGCAAGGGAGGTTGCTAGTAATAGTAATGAGTTGATTCCTACAGCAGATCCAGGCAAGGTCTCTTTTCCTAAAAACTATTATGAATGTACACAGCATAAAGAATCACCTGAAAAATATTTGTTGGAAAAAGAAATTCTTGACCATGAGATATCATCAGCAGTAGACAATAATCAATGTACATCTGTTGCAGAGAGTGTACATTTTCAAGACATCAATGAAAGAACCATTACACCCTCAACAATTCTGAAGCAGAGAATGTACCCACCAGTTAGTATTCCTAAGTTGATTCCTATGGATGTCCAATTTAATACTCATGAATTGAGCACAATTCCTGAGGTGGACACACCAAAACATTCACAATCTGCCTTTCAAGATGAAGGTTCTCCTCACAATTTTAAATCTCTTATGGCTGAAGAAAACTCTGACATATCTGGCAGTCAGGTGTATGATGAGTTCAACTGCACAGCAAACCAACTGAGTCCAACTGAACTTAAGCAACGGCCAGTCATAACTGTTCCAGCTTATGACAAAGAGCTGAATTATCAGGGTGAAGGCAAGGATGAACATTCCTCAAAGATGTCACCACAGGCTGTCATTGACATTTCAAATCCGGTAGTAGAGCAAGATGTCCTTGCAGACGACGAAGAGTCTTTCTTGAGTCAGAATGAGAAAACTGGATATGATAGCTATTCTGGTATTGGCAAAGAGTACAACGATTTACTTCATTTTAAACCAAATGAGTTCCAGTCTTCAACACAGATTTCTGACAACCTAGACTCAAGTATTCCAGTATCAACAAACCCTGTTGCAAAGAGCTCCTTTACTAGCCGTCATGTCTGGAAGAATCTTTTATCAATCCCAGCATCAGATATGCCAATATTTAAACAGGAGTCTTTACAAGACTATACAGGCCAAGACCAGAAACGCAAGTATGATACAAGTACATTTGACAGCACATTAACTAGTAGACAGTTCCTAGAGATTAGCAGGGAACTGCAACATCAATTACAACCTCAGCGAAAAGTTTCTTCCAATACGACAGCATTAAGTGAATATACAATTGGGAAGAATGAAAATTCAAAAGTAATTGACAGCCAAATTGAGCAGAGTACTTTATCGGAATATGTAGATAATCAGTCACCAGCTCACAAGTTGTCAGATTCGTTGTCAGATTCATTGTCTTTGATGTCAGGACCTGTAGGAGAATACACAGGACAGAGTTCTCCATTAATGCCTGGAAGTGAAAGCATTTTCCATGAATTGAAGCCAGACACGATTGTTCAGCAGAAAATGTCAAGTCTTCATAGTCCTACACATGCTACCAGTCATCATCGTTCACAAAATGTGGCTAGTTCAGGTTATAAGGTTCAAACTTTGGAGAAATTAAGAAGATTTGAAAAGAAGGAAGAAATTGGATCCAGTGATATAAAGGATGCCAATGATGTATCAAGTGCATTCAGAAATTACTCCTATCAGGCAGAAAGCCCAGCAGAACTGCTGCATAAACATCAATTAGGTCATACAGGGAAAACTAGTCTCAGCACATATTCTTTGGATTCTATCAAGGATCCCTATACCACTTCTCAAATTGTGTCAACCCCTCTAAACCCATTGGTAACTGGTCTCAGTAGTTACGCAGTAAAGGAAGAGGACACTGAAGAAGATGACTTGAAAAGATATATGTTTGAAAAACCTGGACCAGAGTCAAAGCTTAGCCACCTCACCATCAATGCCTCTGACAGACCTACAAATAGATTAAGTGAACAAGAATTTGACTTGGCCAGTAGACAGTCTGACTCACCATCTAACACAGAAAATGTACAAAGATTTGAGAATGAAGATGTCATAATGAGCAGACCTTTAGAAGAATTTACAGTGTCTTGTAACAGGGACAGAAATGATGAAAATTTGGCTGACATAAGCGATAATGAAATTTCCAAATGTATGTTCCAACCAAATACTAGAACGGATACTTCATTCAAAAAAGATGGCACCAAGCAATTTCTCCAGTTACATGAGACCCAGGATAGTACTGGGAGTACCACTGACAGTCAAGCAAATAGTGATTATGTGTCTAGAAAATCTGGAGCTGAATCAGAGCTTAGCCAACTTATTGTTAATACCTCCGACAGTCCTAAGCATAGATTCTCAATGTTAAGTGAACACAATTTTGACCCAGCAAAATTACAATTTAAGCCAATGAACAACACAGCAAATGTTAAAAGATTTGAGATTGAAAAAGACAAAATGAGCAGACCCTTAGGAAAATCAGCAATGTCGTCCATAAATAGGGAGAGAAATGATAAAAGTGTGGCTGAACTAAGTGATAATGGAAACTCTGAATATATGTTCCAGAGTTTAAACTCTAAACCAAGTACAAGAACAAAAACTTCATCCAAAAACGATGTTGCCAACCAATTTCATAAGCTACATGAGACCCAGGATAGTACTGGGAGTATTTCCGGTAGTCTTGGGTTCAGTTATAGTGCCGACAGTCAAATGAGTCGTAATGATCCATCTAGAAATAAAGATGACCTAAAGAGATTGATACAGGCTGTCATCTCCAGACAAACATCAAATACCAACGCAGGACTCCAGATGTTTTCCGACATCTCCTTCAGTCAATACAGCATGTCTTCTGATGGACCAAGTCTCTTGTCAAGAGATCAGTCACAGTTGATATCTAGTAGGACATTAAGTGGATTAGGTCAAATGAGTGAGGAGGAGAGGATGGACCTTCCAAATGGTGCCATGCCCAGGTTTGTCAGAACACAGCCATCAGTTAAATCACAGTCAATAACGTCAGATCTTATACAACAACAAATGAAGCATGGAGAGATCAACACAAGTATTTCAGAGAGGCATTCTCCACTTACAAGTCATTCTAAAGCTTATGAAAGTTCAACAGAAAGCAGTGAAGCAGAGCAGTATGCTGATCAATTGAATCAGTTGGTACAACAATCAAAACAAGTCAGACAACATCACATGCAACAGAAAGAACTTGATCTGAAGAAGCTAGAGAGAATAAATGAAGAATATAAGCAGAAGGAGAAAGAATTGACACAACTACTTTCACAGAAGAAGGTAATGTACAGTATTAAATTATTGTAGGTTAAAACCTGACTAGGTGCTCTGTCCACATTATCAATCCTCCTAGGTGAAAAAATAATTCAATTCAATTCATTTTATTCAGTCTATTATACATAAATATAACAGAAATGTGCGTTGAAGCTAAGCAATCCAACATAAATTGTTAAAAACAGTTAAAAACAGACTAGAAACTTTAAAATGTTCCAAACAGAACAGCAAAAAATATTGAAATGATATAGTATTAAAACATTAAAATACAGTAAAACGTATTAAGGGATGTTAGAGCAATAAAATATACTATAAAAATATTAAAAGACAGTAAAAAGTGTTAAGATATACAGTATTATTAAAACACAGTACGATGATAAAAAACAAAGAGCAGAAAATACATTAAAATAGAATAAAATTATTGCATTTATGTTAAAAAGATTAAGACCAGGTTTAAAATAGTATAAAATTATTGTGTTTATATTAAAATACATATAGGCAGAGAAGTATGTAAGAAATTTTCATTTAAAAGGTATAGCAGGGATGGAGAATTACGATAATCACCTTTTGGCACGTCTATTAAATATATTGATAGAATTAGGTACAAAAGACTGTCTAAACCTCTTAGTTTTCGATATAGGTGGAGTTAATCTGATATCTGAGTAACTATGGATAAAATACAGTGGATGTGTATTATCAATAATTATATCTTTAACTTTCTTAATAATTTTCTCATTAAAAGCGAAATCCAGATTCATCATGTTATCACCAATAATTCGATTTGCTCTTTTTTTTATTCTCTCTATGCACATGTTGTCTTTCTGGGTCATACTATTTCCAAAGATACAAACGATGCAATACGTCATAATCACAGAGTTATAGAATAATCTTAATATAGTCAATGTACATAATACTTCATTTTATGCAAAATTCCCATTCTTTGTTGGCTCTTACTAGTTTATCTGTATTATTTTTCCAATTAAGTTTATTATCAAAAAGGCAGCCTAGGTATTAATATTCAGTGACCACAGCAATTTCTGTGTTTTTAATGATTACAGGTTCAACATTATTACGAATTTTCCTAAAATCTATTATCATTTTTTTAGTCTTAATATTACATTATTCTATTATAGGATGAAGTAGTTGGCATATTGGAAGAGCCAGATTTGACACTGGTTTCCATCCCAGACACAACTATCTCTGAAGGACCATTATGGGAGGCTTCATTATCTGAAGGTCCCATTTCTAATATCATGTCTGATAGTGAAATTGACTCAAAGTTATCAGAAGGCCAGCTTACTAGAAGTCAAATGATTGGTTTTGAGCAAGGAACCACTCTGAGCGAAGGATTACTCACTGAAGATGGTAGTCGGCATCTGCAAGGACTGTCAGAGAGCAGGATAGTGGATCACTCTGCCAGTCTTGATGATATCAGTGAATCATTGCTTTCATTTCAAAAACATGAATGTGAAGTTGCGACACCAATATCACAGAAAACCGGGAACCTCCCTGAAGATATTGTATTATCCACTAGTTCTTTTCAAAGCTCAGGTAAATATAAAATCTATATATCCGATGAACACAAGAAAATGTTACATATATCCTGTGCTGGGGAAAATTTAGCATGCATTGTCTGTGTGAGTGCACATCTGTGTATGATAGTACACGTCTCTTCAAAATAAAATTTTACTTCTAAATATATTTTTAACTGCAGACACATTGAGTGATGGGCAAGCTACAGTTAGTCTCCAAGAGGCATTTACTAGACACAAAAAAGGCTTCATTGTTTCTTCCAAACGAAGACAAGAAGAGGTTAAGGTTCGTGCAGAGGAGAAGCCACCTACAGCTCAAACTAGAAAGGTGAAACCAAAGAAGAAAAAACCAATAAAAAACCAAACATCAAAATTAGGTGAGAATGTACATGGTGACTCAGCCATATTTGGAATTTGCAAGTTTGCACATTTGCTTTATCGCCATAATGGACCGTTAAGTTATACAGTATAACATAGAAATGATTTGTTGTAATTCAACAACAAATTATTTCAAAATTAAAAATTAATGTGCATCAACTGGACAAAAAAGTGCAATTTAAAAGTCAATAACCACAAAATTGACACCAATGTACCAAAAATATTACAGTATTACGATATATACAGTATATGAAGACACCAAGCTGTATAATATTATTGTAAATTGTTATTAAAGATGGAGCTAGCAACCAAAATGAAAAACCATCCACTTCCAAAATAAGCCAAGCGAAAACTAAAGGAACAAGTAAGAAACCTCTTGGACCGAAAGACAGAAAAAGTGCTGAAAAAGAAAAACTTCAACGAACTCTCAGGTAAAACAATGAGCTACACACTTTTGTTTACTTTTAATATGTATACAGTTGAATCTTTTTACTTCTTTCTAATTTGTGATGTGTATCAGTGGTGTCACCAGCAGGTGGTTGGTTGGGGGCACCAGCACTGATTCTAACCCAGAGGTCAACTTGTTGCTGGGACACCAGAGCACACAGTGATAACACTGTAGATGTATTAAATTCTAGAAAAGTGAACTACAAATTATGAATTTAATGATAGCTGGATAAGAGATAAAGTTCAGTATTTGATGAAAATTATATCAACCCAATAAGTAATCAATTGTCATTTCCGATGACCTGATGAACAGGGAAGCTTATGGTCTATAAAATTATTAAAGTGATAATTGTGAATAACTGTTTTTGCAGGTTGTATAATCAACTTGAAGAGGTAAAGAAAAAGAAGAAAGAGGAAGAACGAAAACAGCTTTACGAGGAAAATAGACGAAAGATGAAAGCCTTCCATGAAAAAGTACAATCTCACTTGAAGCAACGTGCATCCCAAAGCAAAAAGTAATTAAACACAAGCACTGCTGCCTGGTAGCCTGATCCATAAATTATCTCTACTGCTTGTATGATAGGGAAATGGATGTTAAATTGTGTTGTATATTTATATAGATGAGACATATATATATTTATATATCTTAATATTAACCATGGTTTTAAAGTTGAGTACTGTACACTTTATACATCTGGAACACTGTACTTTACATATAGTAGCCATGTTTGAGCATATTTCACTGCCATCGTCAGTGTGGAGAATAGTTTTTTATCTTTTTTTTTTGAAGGGGGGGGGGAGGGGAATGCGCTGCTTCATATTGTCTGGAATTGTTTGAAAATCGCTGTAGTGTATTAGTTTATTGGTAGAAGCAGTTGTAGCAGTGGTTGCAATTCAATCTCAATCTCCTTGCTGGGATTTTTATATACTACTGTATATGTGTACTATAAAATATTTATTTGTGGATATTGTTTGATTTATAAAAAAAAAAAAAACTTGATAAAAGATTGTACTGTACAAATATGTTTTATTGACAAGCCCCAATGATGTAACAAATACATAACATTAAAATATTTATTGTGGTGGTAAGGTTAGCGAATTTCTATAGGACCACCAGAGTATACTTTAAATACATGTCCTACAAATTACAGGTAAATTATAATTATAATATAATTATAATAATATTATTATTATGATTTTAGAAACATGGAGAAGGGAGGGACACACATTTTTGGAATCTATTTTAGTATAAAAACTCTGGCAATAACAAAAATGATAGTTTCCCCTCCAATACAGCTATTGTTATAATAATTTTTTGTTGTACTGTATATTGTATATAAAATAACTGTAATATTTCATATCGGTTATCATTTATTGATGTTGCGTAAAATTCGTCGGCTATGTTGTGCTTTAACTTGGGCTAATGCATCTTCTAAAACTTCAGTCATGTGGACAAGGTTCACTGGGTCGGTCTGCAGGATGGTTGTTTCTTCTTCATCGTAGTCTTTGGTGTGCAGTTTCAACAGAATGTTAGGATTCACTTGATGTCGAAGAGATCGACTTGCCAACTGAAGCAAGAAAAAGAAAAATCATCTCTATGAAACTGAATATTTTAGCTTGAAATGTGATATACCGTAAAACCTCAAATTGAAGCCCAGGGGGGTTGATCTTGAGATGAAGCCCATCTCGAATTGAAGCCCCCTCTTTAGTTTGCAAAATTAGACCCGAAAAGAAGCCCATGGGCTTCTTTTCAAGATAGTACAGTATATGTACTGTACATTTCCTGGGAGATTTGCGCATGCTTGTGGGAGTGGAGGAGGCTGCCCCGACTTGCGTGGACTTGGGATCCTTGACCATTGTGAGTTTAAATACCAACCTCTATGTCTAGCCTCCACTCCAAGTTGTGATAATGAGGAAAATCCATCGACATCTCTGACAAAATTTCTCTGATCTCCTTCCGGTTATCCAAATACACCCGTAGAAGTTCTTTCTTTAATTCTTCATTGAAACCTAGCACTAGAATCGAGTCTTGAAAGTCTATCTCTGATACCTGTTTAGCAAAAAAAAAGTTTTACATCAGTGAATAGAAATTTACAGTAGTACAAAACAACTATTTCTCAGTGGCTAAATTAAGATTTAATCCTTTTATCAGGACCTTTGGCCCTAAATCAGTCGAGCAGGGACCTTCTTAAAAAAAAAAGGCTGCAAACTACAGATTCAGCTGAATCTGGAGTGTTACTACAGTACACTTACCATCAATTTTGAGCTCTCTGTTAATAAATACATAAGTCCCTGGACACCATTTTGAACTGTAAGTGCATCAACTGACAATTTCTCTACAGTAAATACAAAAGTTTAACTTATAATATATTTTTGAACTTATAATATATTTTTGTCACTGACTGGTGGTACTCTCTGTTTTAATTTTTAATAATTTAGTTAGTTTTCAACAAAATTAAAAATAAATTAACATTTTAAAAATAAACTTACGAGCAGCAGATTGATAAAGCTTGGGATTTGAACCTTTCTTTAGAAATTCCAAAGCAATTTGACAAAATTTCTGAACCACTGAAAATTTAAGCAAATACACATTGCAATAAATAGTACAATACATAAAACTTTAAATTCTTAATACACTGTCTTCAAAAAAATTAAAACCCTTTTAGGGGTTGTTCACAATTATCAACATGTTCACAAGTGAGCAAACAGTATGCTAAGGGGGGGGGGGGGGGGGGGGTGTGGACAAATTTGTACACTTTTACATATGCATGAAAATGTTGTTTCAAAATAAATATGCAATATTTAAAATAACAGATGTTTATAATGCAATCATGGAAACATAGTACAGTATATAATATATATTTTTATGCAACCAAGTACCTTACTTTGGTTGACTTAAAAAAAAATGGAGTGCAAAATCAACATTTTTGTATTTACACTTTCAGTCAGCTGAGGGGAGGGACGGGGTACCGAAAAAGAGTATCGTACACTTACGAAAATGTTTATGCAAATCTTCCTTGCCTAGCAATTATGCTGTTCTTATTAATTTGTATATAAGGCATCCGCAAGTGAATACAGTATTGTTAGGTTCGCCTACGACGATGCAGTAAGTAAGTAGGGTACGGGTCTGAGCCTAGACCTCTTGAGCACAGACAGACGCGATTGTCAACTAAACTTACAGCAGCAACAAAGCAAGCAAGCAATCAGTGGTGGTATTGCCCGATTGATCGCCTAGCCTTACTATGGCCTAACTCAACTGGGATTAAGTTAAAAAGGATTTAATGTCATAAACAAAAAGCAAACCTTCAAGCTCAACTTTCATTAAGAAGCTAAGGTGCTCCTTGTGCTCATCTTCCAACATTAAAAGCATATTATTCGGTTAAGTTCACCAGGTGGCCTAAAAGTCAACAACAGGCGGCAGGCGGAAGTATTATCAAAGAACTTACTATGAAGAAGAATGAGCTGCTCCGCGTATTTGCATTAAAATTGATTGAACATACGCCCTCCCGCGAGCGGGGTAAAATTTGACCATTTCACTAAGTGGAGAAAATACACGAAACAAACGAGTCCCAAGCGGTGCCTTTAGCGAATTTGCGTCACAACGTAGGGTAGTTTGGTAAAATCTCATGAATTATTCATAATCATCCTTATAGACCGTATTATTTTGTCAGTCTGCAAATACAATACTAATTTGTTGTTCAATTAAATTTTATTAAAATTCCAATATTTTAAGCTAAAATTCGCTCGATGCTGCGAAGCTAGGACTTCGATAATTATGCCCATGCCGTGTAGTCTCCCGGCGCTATTTACGATAGACAAGAAGGAGGATTCATCCATCATATGTGATCATCCGTCATTTCATGCATGCATTCATTCATTTCATATATTTATTCGACCAATAGACCTACACATTTACAATAGGTACATACAACAAATGCTGGTCATGCAAAGACATACCGTACGCCATATTTTTTGTTGAATTGTTCCTTTTATTCATGCCTAACATAAGAAACAATATATATGCCTACAAAACAAAATAAACAAGTTGCTTACCATAAATAAATCACTTTTCTTTATGTCTACTTTGAAATATTAGTATGCAAACAGACCGGATGTTCATACCAGTAACAGACGGAATGAAGACTCTAATGTTGAGATTAATATAATAATATTTGCACATTCTGCAACTAAAGTACGGTAGGCCTTACTCATATAAAATACCATTGTATTCACTGGATCCTTTGCTGAATTAGGCCCCTGCCCATCTAATCTTGACTATGATAATATCTAAAATTATTAGGCCGCTTTTTAATCAATTGTATCGGCTCAGCCAAAAATTTAATTTTCCTTCACCTTATTCATCGTAGGTCCATCATTCGACAGAGCTGCCCCTTGGAGATGCGTGGACGCGTCTAAATTTCACATAATAAAGATTGGTTTGAAAGCGAAGAAAATACTGTATTATGTATAAGAATGCACCAAGAGTAGAATAGACCTACCTTGATGTGTTGTGAGTGAATTTAATTATCTTATCTTCTTTAACTATTTTGTCTTGGCATCATATTCAAGATGTAATCGTATTGGTGATCGTGTCAGAATCGAGTTTCCTAGTCCTAATATCATACGTTTAATTATCAACTATTTAATAGTAGGCCTATTTTGTATTTTCAGACTGAAAGTATTTAACTTCACAATCTACTATCAATCGCTTGTTTTATTCTCGCATTGATTCAACAAGGCTCATACAAAGAAAAGTGTGTGCACCCCAGAATGAAACCATTAAGACTTATAATATAGGCCCAGTCAATTTTGTGAGAAAAATTAGCCTCGTTTTGACTCATTCACCATGTTAAGTTGTGCAGTGTACCGTTCACCGAGCCGAAGACGGAAAGTTTTCGGTACCCGGACGATTGGCCGAATGCCAGTTGGGACAGACGTTTGGCCAACGGACAATTGGCCGAACGGACATTTTGCCAAATGGACTTTTCGCCGATAGAACGTTTGGCCGAATGGATATTTCGCTTAGGCCTAATACCATTCGCCGAGCGGACAATTCGCCGAAAGCTATTTCCGTCGGCCAACTGGCATTCGGCCAATCGTCCGGTCACGAATTGGTATTTGGTGGGTAGATATAACATCAGATGCTGGACAAATGGTATGTAGAATGTGAGATGACTACAGAAACTCCCATGGCTCTCTTTGTGGATAAGGCACGCTGAAATGAACTAAATAGTTCAAAGGGGGTCGTGACAAAGTGCGAGCCAGCGAGTCATGCGAGCCAATGCGCGAGCCATGCGAGTCAGCGAGCCATGCGAGTCAGCGAGCCATGCGAACCAGCGAGCCATGCGAGCCAGCGAGCCATGCGAGCCAGCGAGCCATGCGAGCCATACATTTAAATCCTTTTTTTTTTTCTACCGGGGAGCTTTGCCTGTGTAGTCCAGTCATGCGTAGTACATACACTTTTTCGAATCGTCGATCCGGAAATATGCAGCGCTGATAAAGATGTTGTTAAAATAAGATGTATACAGATACATACTGTACATACAGATTTATTTATAAATATGTACTGTATTTATTTATATATCTATATATATATATATATATTTTATATATACTGTATATATTTATATATTTATTTATATATTATA